GTGTTGTTAATAGTATAGGAGGCGTAGTTGTAGTGACCAGGCACAGTGAGTTGTGGATCTAAATTAATATTTTACTTAATTGCGTACATTATTTATGAAGTACAATATGGAAATAACAATATTATAAATATGACCATGTTTATAATCTTATATTGATTCAAAGTCTTTCTCGTTAATTTTTATACAACTTATTACAGCTATTGGTTCATGAATTATATATATTTTAAAAACCAAAGATTGTTTTGAATGTACTCAATGTATATTTTGAGTACAATTCTAGTACCGTAAAACCTCGAATATAGTTGCATGTAATTACATTTAAAGTTTTACTGTAATAACAGGTAATTTAAATTACAAAGATTATTTTTTTCATAAAACCCTTTGTAATTGAATACAATAAAAATCATGCCTAAAACTTTCAATTCATGTACTCTTTTGTATACATGTATAGTTTTAGAAGTCATTACTTTTATACAAAACACTTATTAGTTAGACATTCGAGAATCAAATAAAGCTAACCTTAACCTTATCCGAGAATACAATACCTTAGAAATACATTCAATTCGTTATTAAATACTGTATATTCAATAGGTTTTACAGATAACAGTTGTCTATGAGATGCTAGTTCAAGGATAAAATCTGTGCCTAAACTCCCCGTTCATTTTAGTCCCCATATACTAACAATTATTTAAATATAGAAATAACTTATGTACTTTGTATTTTGTATAAATAGTAGGAGTTCTTTGGGATGGCATTGAAAAGTGCTGTCTTATAGTGACTGTTAGTTTCATATTAAATAAAGTGTTTGAAATATAAAATACACTTAACGCTAGTATTTATAATTTTATTTCTTGAATTCTATTCAATCATTGTATTAGAAAAATGTCGAAAACATTTAAGAAGTTATCGGTGACTAAAATCACAACAAACTTTCGGGAAGCGGTGAACGTAGTGGACGTACCGCTCACTCCACCCTCTGATGATCAGATACTACTCAAGAATATCTACGCCGGGGTTAACGCCACTGATGTCAACATAACGGCCGCCCGTTATTTCACTGATGGAAAACTGCCCTTTGATTGTGGATTAGAGGTTTGCACTTGTTTTGCTTAATTATTACATTTTATTATACATGTACTTTAGTGTACAAATAAATTATAATACAATTTTAGTAAAAATGTATAAACTAGTTCATTATTACAATATCTAGCAATAACACTTATATAATCATTTAATAAAGCTTTGTCACTTATATTTGTGTGATAACAGGCATTGGGTGTTATAGAGGCTGTTGGCAAGAATGTAACCACACATAAAGTGGGACAACCGGCCATTGTATTTGGTACAGTACCAAAGGCATACGCCGAGTATCTGGTAATTGAATAAAATCAACTCTTTTAAATATATACATATTTTTAATTTATATATATTTTAATGAACTTTAAAGTACGCCAAACCCGATGAAGTGATTCCTATACCAAGTCTTAAACCAGAGTTTATAGGACTTTTAGTTTGTGGATTGACTGTCACTATAGGTTTGGATGAGGTATTGATAATTAAAATTATTTATTTTAAATGTTTGATAAAATATATGATTTTGTATTGAAAGGTCGGACGTATCAAAAAGGGAGAGAAAGTGTTGATTACAGCGTCTGCCGGCGGAACCGGTCATATAGGCGTCCAATGGGCCAAACAGAAGGGCGCGTATGTCATAGGAATGACATCATCTGATGAGAAGGCAAAACTGTTGAAAGAGTTGGGAACCGATCGAGTGATCAATTATAAGACCGAGAATTTGGATGAAGTGCTCACTAAAGAGTTTCCGGTTTGTAATTTGTGGAATTTCTGGTATCGGATCTGACTTTATTTAGCATTAAATTATATTAAACACACAATCAAAACATAAAACAATTATATTTTATAAAACTAATCAATTCAGAGTTAGTTAACAAGTTATACGTGCAGTTGGTTAGGAGTCTATATTCAATTTGTTATGCAATTTTTAATTATAATTTAGAGTTAGAGTTAAACAAATGATTATAACTAAATTAATAGAAGTTTCTAGAAATCAATTTAATTAACATTTTTTTAATATTTAGGAATTTAATTATTAGGCTGCAATATACAACTGTATAGCAAAAAGTTATTTAATAGCAAGTTGAGGCAAATATAATGTTGAATTTATTGAATTAAATTTAAACAAAACATATTCATATAGAATGGTGTGGATGTGATTTGGGAGACAATTGGTGGGGAAGTATTTAAGACCCTATTCAAGCATTTGGCACCAAAGGGTCGTTTAATAATCGTCGGGGGTATCAGTGGTTATAAAGGGGACGGTTTCCCTGATGTCCAGATTCCACACCTAAACACTACAGTAAGACTACAATAATATTTACTAAACTTTATAATATTTAGTTTAACACATATTTGAATTATTTAATAGCTACTAATGAAAAACCAGACACTCTCTGGTCTACTATTGACCGGTTATAGCGATTTGTTTCCTAAATATTTGAAACAATTGGTTGGAGACGTTGTGAGCAATAAATTGCGAGTTGTCTTAGATTTTGGCCAAAAGTCAAGTGAAGGAGAATTCAATGGAATTGATTCTGTGGTCAGAGGAGTGGAGGTAAATATCAATCAATTTATATTTTTTAACTAATAATTAATTAATTATTAAATTTGTAATTGAACAGCATTTACAGTCCGGACGTAATACTGGAAAAGTTGTCATCAAAATACAAAATCCATAAATAATGCATTTTTGAATACAAATATTGATAAAACAATAAAAACTAATTTTATTTGACTTTAAAATTTATTAATTTTTAAAATAAATTATTATTCAATTAACATGTGAAGTTTGCAATAATGATAAAACATAAAAATTTTAGTTCAATTAAACATTAAAAGTGTTAGACCTTTACCATGTTAATTCAAAGATTAGTTGATTTACTAATTTAAAGATTAGTTGTAATATTAATATTCTATAGTTATTTAAAAAGAACATGGTCGTATTTTAAGTTAATTTTAACGTATAAAGATTTTGATAAAAATAAAAACAATCTGAGGTATTTATTATTTGTATGATTAGGTTAATTAAATATTATGCAGCACATGAAGGTCACTGATTAAAGCATCTACAGTAGCGGTGGGGAACCTATGTCAACACTATACAGATTGACTGAATGTAAAATCGTCACAAAAATAATCACCATACCGTACATATACAAAGGACAATCGGCAAATTGGTTCAAGTTGGCAATCGGGATTTTACCATATAACATGAATAGGATTTTACCATACATAGAATAAGGAGCCCTCTGGTATAGTTCATATATCTAAGCCACCTCGGGTTTGGCCGCAGTGACCACTTTTATTGGGAAATTTCAACTTATCCAATACTAACATATAATATATAAAATCGATGTAGAATTTAATGTAGAACTAGAAAATTGTAATATCACATCAGTGGGGTCAATAGACTTTATATTATTTATGTAAAACTGTTCAATTTTAGATAAAATTAGTAAAATAACCTATTATTCCTTAGCCCCTACTATCTACACCTACACCAAACACATCCCCAGGTCACCTTCAGCACTCTAGACCCAATAGTTTACACCACTAATCGCGGACCAAAAATAAACTAAAATTACTCTAAATCTATGCACCCTATCGAGATGTTATTACCATATTCTAATTCTACGTTAAATTCTACATTGATTTAATATATAATATGTTAGTATTTGATAAGTTAAAATTCTTTCTAAAAGTGATCACTGCGACTGAACCCGAGGTCGGATGGTCTATGGAAAAGACCGATTTACTCCATATTCAACGTAGTTCAATCTAATACAACAAATCGCTCTTAATTTGTAAAAATATTCATATCCAGTATAAATAATAATATGTACGGTATGGTGATTATTTTTGTGACGATTTTACATTCAGTCAATCTGTATAGTGTTGACATAGGTTCCCCACCGCTAGTCTAAAGGGTCAAAAGGGTCCAACGGATACAAAGGGCACTCAATTATATAAACCATGTTATAGACATGTATTGGTTTCTATCTCTACCACAAGTTTCCTATTTTATATAAAGTTTTGATTTTAAATAATAATAATAATTTATAGCAACTAAACGCAAATACGTTCAAAAATTGCACTTTTAATTATAATCGCATTTAATTTAAATTGAGTTTTAATTCGTTTGTGATTATGATATTATAATTTTGTATTTTTAATTGAAGTTTATTTAAAATACACGATTTGTATTGAATTTTAAATAAAACTACCATGATCAACAATTGATGTAATTAAATAAATATAACTTTGAATTCAATAATAATTTCAAAATATTTTCTGGAAAACAAATGAATTGAATGGAAATTCAATGCAAAAGTAATTTCAATTAATGTTTTACTAGCCAATAATTACGAATATATAGCCCGTACATTACTGATCGTAATTTATTATTTTTTGAAATAATTGAAATAATATTTTGTCAAAATTAAAATTCACTAATAACTGGTCAGTCAATGTATTTGCATTGATTGCATTTCAAGTGTAATTTGACGCTCCAGTGACTCTCTAGCCTTATCAGTGCTGCGCTTATCACTCATCCCATCAAATATTTTATTTTTTTTATTTGAGTGTCTAATAATAAATAGTAGGATTTTTATTACATTCAATGATAAAACAATTGGTATTTTAAAAATTTATATGCAATGCATTTCTCTATCGAGTCATACAATGAACTCTAAAAATGTTTACCATTAAGATTCAAAAATTCCCTAAATATGACACAATGTTTCCCAAAGAAAGTTTATTTATTACAGAATAACGCGGAAATTTCCCAAACATTGGGAACAATATTATAAAATTAAAATTATTAAAACTTTATATAACCAATGATTGAATTGAAGAATGAGTCAGAGTTGAGTCAATGCTTGAAATATAAGTGTTTTATGTTTTGCTTTCAAAACTTGAAATTCAATTTCTTTGTCTATAAATTGCGGCAAAAGTTTTCATTTTGTTTTTAATTATTTAATTAAAGTTTCAATTGATTTGTGTTTAACTGAAATCGGATTTATTGCCGAAATGACGGACAGTTTAGGGATTGAATACTCTTAATGAGTGGTGAAGTGGAAGTGCTGTCAGAGTGTGTGGACACATGTGTGGACACAATCTCCGAGTCGATGAAGTGATGGCCACCGAAGACAACGACAGCCAAACGTGGCATCAAATCAATCAAATCACTCACAAAGACATGCATTTCATTGAAATGATTACTAAATTGAATGAAATTAAGATTTTAAGTGAAACGATAGACAAAATGCAATGCATTTTGAATGCAAATAATAGTGTTTTGTGTAAAAACTTTCAATCATTAAATAAAACTATTATTGATTGCAAACCATTCAAAATCAGTGTTAATTTAATGGCAATTAAAAAAACAATTATTAAAAATAATGAGAAGTTTCGGTGTCTTTGGACTGATTGTCACTTCAAGTCTAAATACAAAAGTGGTTTAACTCGACATCAATTAATTCATACAAATATAAGACAATTTAAATGTGATTTTAATGATTGCAACAAATATTTTACACAAAAACCAAATTTATTAAAACACAAACGTTTGGTTCATTTAAAAGAAAAAAGATTCAAATGTAGTGAAGATAATTGTGGCAAAAGTTTTGGATCAAAATCAGATCTAATTCGACACAAACGCAGACATTCGGGAGAAAAACCTTTTATTTGTGATTTCAATAATTGTAACAAAAATTTTACAACAAAAGGCAATTTAGTTAAACACAAAAGATTTGTTCATTTAAAGGAAAACTTATTAATATTTAAATGCGATGAAGAGAATTGCGGCAAATGTTTTGGTCAAAAATCAATCTTAAATATTCACAAACTCATTCATTCGGGAGAAAAACCATATAAATGTGATGTCACTGATTGTAATAAATGTTTTGCACGAAAAGGAGATGTAATTAAACATAAGAATAATATTCATTTCAAACCATTTAAATGTAATGAAGAAAATTGTGGCCAAAGTTTTGGTGATAAATATTATCTAAATCGACACAAACGACGCTCGCATTCGGGAGAAAAGCCATTTAAATGTCATTTCATTGATTGTGTCAAATGTTTTAAATCAAACGGAGAATTAAATCGACACAAAAGTTGTGTTCATTTAAAGAAATTGTAATAATTATGAAACATTTATTTCAAAAATGATTATAAATTATAACAATTTGTTTCTAATTTTTATATTTGTATTTAATGTTCA